GAAGTCGAAAAGATCGGGACTCTACCAGTCCTCACACATACAACACTTTCTAACTTAACACGCTCATACTGCCCCACACGCCCCTTTATCCGCAACGAACTAGAGTATAAATGTGCACCGTCAGTTATTGCGGGCCGGGCGGCGCCTACCGTTTCTTCTTTTTTTTCTTGCGGCAAGCGACAAAACTGTATCGTTCGTTTGTATCAGTTATTTTCCAGCATTCTTTGCTTTTACCCACTTGAGCAACTGGTGGAAAATGGATTCTGCAGCGCGTCCCGTCATCTGCAGCGAACCATACAGTAAGTAGGTAGGGGCCAACGTGCAATGCATCGACGGCTCAGAGACCAAAGTGACCACCTTCTACTCTTCCAACTATCCCGTTGCTCAGTTTTTTTTTGCTTTTTTATCGATGTGGAGGAAGGAAGGAAGGAGCTCCCGAGGGTGGGGTGAAGTGTGGTGATGTCGCCCAGCACAGCACGTAAAACCCCCTCCCACGTCAATGATGTGTCGCGCGACGTTGAGGCATGTCCTTGCGCGTAATGTTTTCGACTGCGGACTTATTTTGGACTCGCGCATTTGCCTGAGCGAAGCGTATACTTATGAGAAACAACTCAATAAAATGTATATTTCTTTCTTGTATTTTTTTATATCTGAAGCGATGTTTTGGTCATTATTTTTATGGCAATTCTTTGTATCACATGTAGATATGATGAAAATGTAGATATACTAGTTAACGTAAACATTCGATAGCGATAACTTCGCTGCACTTTTCTTTAAGCACTTGCAGTGGTCGCGCTCAACCATAAATGAAAACATTTAACTAGCAAGACCGGTTTCTAATTGTGACAGTAAATATGCCAATTTGTTTTTCAGTAATTTGCTAGTCGAAAATGCCGTTTTTATTCATTTTCTATCGGTTCACATCTCGAACATTTATAATCAACAATGTTTTTGTTGTGACTGACGATGCGTGGCGCAGTAAACTTGCACCCTGTTATTGAGAATGAATCTGCGACAATGGTGTCACCACAATGCTATCGATCTTTACGAAATGAAATTTTTTTGAATCCAGAATTTGATTTAGGGGTACATTTCTGTCTGCCTTTCTCCTAACTTTCCAAGCAGCTCCACCTAGCGTACTGAGTGCCCCAGACAGAGCAGGCCTTGTCGCTGGGGCGAATTTCTGCGGAATATTCCTCGAATTTCCTTTCCTGGCACGACTCCCTTTCCCCATCCCATCTGCCATCTTACTGACTTCTCTCATTTTTTTGGCACTTTTCCAGAAACTTCTCCAGCTCTCCCAAAACAGCCATCGAGCAGGAAAGGGAGGAGGGGTTGTCGCCACCAACCTATTGTTAAATTCAACTATCAAAAAGAAACTAGTGTAGTGACAAGTTGCCAACGAAATCGGCCATCTCCTTAGGTGCCTGTCTAGCGACCAAATACGACCCTTGGGGATTTACTCAGCGTAGATGCCCTGATTCCGCGAGCGTCCACTTTGGCCCTGATTAATATGGCTACGCAATTGAAGGAACTTTTCTTGCAAAAGCGAAACGGTCTCAGGATTTCCTCCAACCGCAGAGTCTCCTCCTTCCTTCATTTGCTCAGTCTTCCTTTTCTCTTCCGTGGTGGGGTTAAAGGGGCTCTTGTCAACCAGACGTGCTCTCGCTGCGAGGTCCGGTGGTATTTTCACGAGGCATCTACCAGTCCAGTAGTTGAAGGGAGAAACTAAAGGAGGGGGGATCAGAGAAGGAAGGAAGGAGGAGGGAGAAAAAATAGAGGAGAAGCTCCCGGTTGACAAGCCCTGAGACGCGCGCTGGGTCCTTTAAATGGCCGTGGAGGTTTATGCCGTCGTCACGTCGTTATTCACGCCATCGTTGAATATCATTAGTTCAGGCCCTTTGCATCGGAGAGTTTGGAATTCATTACGTTAGCACAATTTGGGTCCAAAAACCTTTTTCTACTAATCATGACGGTACCGGCTCAAAATTAGAAAAAAGCCCTCAAAATTAAAGGCAGTTGGCAGTTTGCCTTCAAGCGAACGTTGTGAAATGACAAAACCGGTCCGCAGGATACATAAAGTGGGCAGTTTGTTCGAAAATATGCCATCTATCATCGAAGTTTTGATTTATCCTTCCCGTGTAAAAGTGTTTTTCTAGGAGTGCTGATGAGCCCCTGCTATCATTGTGTTGTTATCATTGTTTTTACGGGATAAACTTATCTTACCCCAGCTTTATGCAGAAGAATCATTCCGCTAGTTTCAGTTTCAAACACACAGCAGTACCCCAACATATGGTCGACGAAGTTCGGAGGCGCCGATAGAGCACAGCCCAGGGGAGCGCCCTTTGTTATTACGTGAGTTTCCAGTGTTTGTTTACTTATTTATTCATTTGTTTGATGTTTACACTAATGTACTCAACAAAGCAAAACTGCAAATTACTCACTTTCTCGGTTAAAGAAGTGGATGTAATGCAAGTAGGGCCTAAGAGGGGATCGAACTGATTATAGACTCAGTAGTTGTGACGTCGAAGTTGTGCTAGACCTTACCTCTCAACATTCGGCTGCATCAGTCTTTACCCTCTCACATTGGATCGACATGCCTATAGAACTTTGAGTGCGTTCATCTTTTGCATCAGCGTTTTGAGCGACTTTTATGGTCTACGTCCTCCTGCGATCTGAACGTCCGCCAGAGCTTGGGCGATTAAGAAGGTGTAGGTATTGATTATTACTCAAAACGCTTGCGGACGCGCAATCAGGGTACAGCATCGTTGTGTGCAACGCATAGGGGGCTGTACTTTTCCGCTGGGGGAAGGGGTGGTCGTATTTGGTCGTTGGGAGAGAGGGGGGAGGTAGGTGCCTTCCAGAGAAAGAGAAACTGCTGTGTTGGAAAAAAATTTTCTCGGTTGTTGACTTTCCTTGTTGTTCCTAAACCCCCCCCCGTTCGATAGAAAGTTTTTGGGGGAAAGTGCAAACGTCGTGAAGTTGATGGCGTAAGTGTTGGGGAAGCGCGACAGGCTAGGTTGTACTGAGACTTTTCATTTAGGTTGGGGGAGGGTCGTACTGACCAACCCCATTTCACTCGTCACCATGCTGTTGCCCTTGCGCCGCTAACCGTTGGGTGGCGCCTCAAAACGCTAGATCAACTGCCTATACTTGTTCCATTTCTCGACGCTGCCGCAAGGGGGGGGGAGTAATGAAAAAAAAACGCAATCTCGCACACAGCCACAGTCGCGATCACTTAAACAGAAGCGCTACCTGAAAAATGCCCATTTGCGCATTGCTCTGTAGGGTTTCTAAATTATCTTATTTCATCCTGTCTATCCATTTACCCGTTAGGATTGGATGACCGTGTGGGAGCGTATATGCAGCGATTACTATTTATGACCAAGTTACCCCTTCCATCGTTAACTGTTACGAGAGCGAATTCTTCGTTTCTTTTTGTGCTAGTGGAGTACACGTAATGTGCACTGTAACTGCAGAAGAACTTGCGTACTCATACGAACTGTCTGTTGTAAACTAGGCAATCCGTGAAGAAGATGGCATATGTAGCACTGACCTGGATAATAAGGGAATCGAAAATCCGCGTAAGAGATTGGATAGGTATGGATTGATCTCCCATTTGATGTAATCAATGTTCCCCGCTCGGACAAGGTTAGTCAATACGTATCTGACTCTTTCGTGGGTTCTCTAATTATACGTACACATTGCCTTTTGCGAATTCTCCGAATCACGCACTTTTATGATTTTCAAGTTTTGGAAGGTGTGAACGCGGCCTTCCATCGATCACCAATGTTGAATGAAAAGACTGCGTCTGTGGTTTGCCTTCCACGCTATCTCCTCAGTTTATTGCTCATCACTCACTTTGCGGCTGTACGCATGTTTTTTAAAGGGGCATGGGACTCTGCGACGTCTGATGTGCCTCGGAAAGAGCCACTCTCGTTCTCTCTCGTCTGCATCCTCTAACGAGAAGGCGTGACATGACAGTGAGACACGGTGGCATGGTTTCCAACTACATGTCCACCCCCCCCCACCGCCGCCATTTTACAGAGATATCATTGCGTGGATTGTCGCTCAGAATGTGGACCTGGCCTAGCCTGCTGAAACATCGCGCACGCGCGCTTATTGCTTTGCTTACCATTTTCACGACTGGCGTGGAAATTTTCTTATTGCCGGTACTGTGGGACCGGAATTTTCCGAAATTTGAGAGAAGATTAAGCTGTCATAGGGGCATAAAAACAAAAACTAGTTCTTTTTAATGTCGTCGCCTCGTCACCTATGCGAAAGCCAGACGTTATCACTTCGCCGACTAACTCCCCCTTTCACGTTTGCAGCGAAAATCCGGTCCAAGCGTCAGTGTCTCATCGTCGTTGTTCGTTACACCTTTGGTGTCTCTCTCTCGGAAGTTGAAGGAATGATCCAATCACGGGCAGAATAAATTGTGAAGAGGCTGTGTTTGGCTTGGTGGGGGCATTTTACTTGCTCCTTTCGATCACCACCGATAATTTCTGTAGGGAACTATGAATTCTTGTGAAGCGTTACAATAGCAGGGGCTTTGGTTAGACTTGACAAGGGTTATCACAAGAATGCTGAGTTATGGGCAAAAGTGGAACACCAGGCGGGAGCTGAACTCGCACCTGACGCTTTCCGGGCGAGTGCGCTATCCGTTACGCCACCAGGGCCGCTTTTACCCTCTCAGCTTGAACGGCTTTTATGCCGTAGCCTATCAGCACTCACACGTTTAACTTGGTGAGCCGGTCAGCCGTAATCGTTAGATATCGGCAGTGAACCGCGAGGACTTCAGATAACAAAACAGCTTCAAAAACTTGACAAGAGTCTCCACTTCCCACCGTGACGGAACGCTAATTCAACAGGAATTAGTGAAAGTGCAAAATGCTTCCCCCCTAAGCCGAACAGCCCCCGTAAAGGTCCTTGTGCTCTTTGAAACGTTACGAAGGTGAAGTCGTCAGATTGCAGCTATTGAAATACTGATTTCAGAAGAAATGCCGTCGTCGGGAAGTGAACGTAACCGCAATCCCGACGTTCGTCGTATTAACATTTCTGGTGGTGGGACACTACAAAAAACAAGATTTTGTTCTAATAGAATTAGGTTGGTTTGTTTTATGGTGTTTTTTGTCATGTATGACACTAGTGCTATTTTCAGTACCTGTAAATATAATGTTGCATCGTTCCTTCCACGATTTCTCTACGAGCAATTTCGTCGATATAATAATATATTCTTTTTAACGATAGCCTTACTACAGGTAAGGTGTTAGAAATTTTTTTTGCCAGTTGCAAATTTAGGACGCTTATGCAGCACGGGTATGCAATACGCTGCCGATTAAAGGCAAGCTCCGCGTTCATTCAAGATTCGTGGTAGACCCATCCGCAAGCGGGGAGCATGTTCTACTACTATTTCAGCTAAAAATACGTGAGGAAAGCCCGACTCGTGACGGAGCCGCCGCTGCAACGCCCTCTCATGTATTGGGAGCGTCCCAGTGGCTGCCAAGCTGTTCCGCTACTACACTATCTCCAATTCGTATGTGAAAGATATTACCATCTTGTCATTGGTAATTGGGCCGCATAGATCATCAGTCTGAACGCGAAGTGTACCTTCAAAAGATAAATGACGTTACGCAACGCGTTAAAGAAGTGTCTTACGACATTGGGAGGGGGGGATCACACAAAGGACCTCTCAACCGTGAGCTAGTTTTACTTTGATGAAAATGAACCTGCCTTGACCTGAAAGGGAGAACGGGCTCCTGTGTGGTAGTGAACCATTTTCAAGTACTAATTCTCGGATGACGTTAATCCCAGTTTTGCCCTAGGAATGCCTTGGATGCCCTTGGGGCTATTAGCGCTCAATACAGTTCTCTGGCCGCTTGCATTTTATTAGACAGGTCGTTTCATAATCCCTGAGTGCACGCCCCGCTTTCTGAAATGGCGAATTCTGCGCTTTTTCTCCTTATCACCGCACTCTAACTGTTCAAAACGGAGAAGGACTGTAGCGGAACAACTGTACGATGATGAAGACCCTACAAAAACAAGTTGGGCGTTGCGGTGCCGGTGGGCGGGGCGCCGCCTCCGACGCGAAAAAATTGCGCCTTATTCACACACTTTGAGGTGAGACAGTAGTACTCCTCCATGCTTGCGGACCAGACTACCTTGTTCAAAGATTCTGCACATCCAATGAACGCGGAGCGTGCCTTTTACAGATAACGTGCACAGATCTGCGCTTAATCTGAGTTCATTCCAAACTGCATTCTTGGTAAGATAACTATGGCAAGCGGATTTCAGCAAATTCCCGATGTTAGCCCAACTGGACGGTATACAACAGCTGTGCCATTTATGTTAATTTTGTCTGTATCAGCACTTAAAGAAATTTTTGAAGATATTGTGAGTTTGTTTACATTTGGAGTTCTATCGAGGAGCTTGTTGGGTACATTCCGAAGTTTCAGAAAAGGCGGCGGGCCGATCACAAGGTTAACTCTTTTCCAACGTTAATATTAGAAGACAGCTCGTGGCAAACTCGGAACTGGCGGGATGTAAGTGGATTTTTCAGCTTCGTTTTATGTGCTTTTTTAACTTTAACCCGTTGTAGATCAGAGTCGGAGATTTAATTCGAGTGGATAACGATCAACTGTTTCCTGCTGATCTACTGCTGCTTTCGTCGAGTGAACCTCAAGGCATGTGTTACATCGAAACATCGAATCTAGACGGAGAGACCAACCTCAAAATCAAACAGGTTCTTTTTTATTGGAGTTATTTACCCTATACTTTTTTTTCTTTATTTCGATCTCTTATGTGTTCATTTCAGGCGCTGCCTGCTACTTCATCCATTACTACACTGGATGCGTTAATTGATTTTGAAGCGAAGATAGAATGTGAACTTCCTAGTCGACATGTAACAGAGTTCAGTGGTAATCTGATTCTCGACGAGCCTAAGCCATTTGGTGAGTTTATTTCAATCAAATTTTTTTAGACGCAGTTCAGCTTGGTAGGCACCAAATGGTGCTCGGCGAAGCTTCCACAGGCAGTCTTGTGGAGACCTGTAATTTCCTATAACCACTAAGCTTCTCAAAAGTTCCCGCAAAATGAGACTTTCCTCTCGTGTCATTTTCGACCGTTTCAATTTCTTTTCTGTTGGTCAAGTTTCCTCCTAGCCGGCGTGAATCCACATCGGTATTCTCTCATTTCTTACTAGGGGGGTGGCTGCGCACTGCGAGCTACGCTTGAGAGGCAGTCTGCGACTTATTGCTTGCAAAGCTTCATGGAGCTGCCGCTTTCATGAGCTGGCTGAGTTGGGAGAGCCTCGGGGTGAAAATAACCTCGCTCACTGACCACGTCATGGAGTCTTCCTATGATGTGGACAGTGTCGTATAACGGAACATTCCTGCTATCGAAAAGATTCTTTCAACAGGACCGAATAGCGACCCCTCTCTTCAGCAGCTAACAACTGCGACGCCACTTGGGATTCTCCAGTGTGATCACCTAGGGAGTGGGATAGCTTGTTGTCCTTAGCTCCTCCCTTTCCCTAGTCGATACGCAAAACGCACTCCAGAATCGCGTCATATGTATTATTGATTATTGTTATTATTGTTATTGCCCCATGGTAAACCTGTCAACTCTTGTTGGCTCATGAATTAGCTCTCTAAATGGCTCGACCCGTCGAGGGGAAGTAGCAAAGGTGCGAAATGCCCCCTCCTCCCGCCGCCGAACTGCCTCCCCCCACTTTAGATCGTTCCACTAGTCTTGGACCCTTTTTGTGATCTGTTTGTTTTAAGGTATCGATCAGTTATTACTGCGTGGTGCTCGTCTGAAAAATACGCCATGGATTTTCGGTGCCGTCGTTTATACTGGCCACGATTCCAAGCTCATGATGAATGCGAAAACGGCACCACTGAAGAGGTTGGATTTTCTCTATATACTTTTGGCTTGTACTTCCTTTCCCCCTGCACGTTCACTCATTCATTTCAGCGGAACAGTTGACAAGAAGACAAACACTCGCATCATTTTCCTATTTGTTGTGTTAGTTGCATTAGCCGTTATCAGCGCTATAGGTGCTGAGATATGGCGAGGTTCTCATTTGCCTCATGCTTGGTATATCTCCTTTTTACGTAAGTTTTTACTTTGCATTGTTTTTTAGTTTCATCCAATTTGGACATTACTCTACAGGAGCGCTTTCCAGAACATGATGCTAGGGCCTCGTTTCCATGGCACGTTTTAACGTTCTTCATTCTCTATAACAACTTGATTCCTATTAGTTTGCAAGTAACTCTCGAGATTGTGCGCTTCTTCCAGGTTAGTTTTTTCTTTCCTTTTTACATTTCATATTTTTCCTTTCATTTTATGTTGCACCTGCTTCAGGCTGGCTATATTAATGTGGACAAAGAAATGTACGATGAGAACAGTGATTCATGCGCCGTTGCACGAACTTCGAATCTCAATGAAGAGTTAGGATTGGTACGCGACCACATGCCGATATTTAATCCTGTGTATCAATTTCCATTTATCACGCACACGGTCTCGGGATCAAACCCGGTCGGCTACCACCCAGGCCAACCAAGCCTTCTACCCCTCCTGGGACGGTGTTTGGTATAAGACTTGTCTGGGAGGAGAAAAGCACTGTCTTGTACATGTGCTGGCCCTCGCAAATCTTTGTATAGGCCACTTCAATACGCCACTACGTTTCTGAATATAAGAAGGATGCGATCGAGGGCGAAGGCTTTATCCTTCTATCAATTCTCAGAAACTGAAACGTTCGGGATCGATAAGTCGGGATTCACTGCAGCTTCTGCTTCCACATAGAACTGTTCTGACTTTTGAGTTCAGTTTTGCCTGTTCTGTGGAACTGTGCACATGCTGGGCGGCGCTGCTTACCACTAAAAGACCGCCTACAATCCACTTATAATGCGCACGGACCGAAAGTCAAAACATAAGTTGGTCCCACCAAGGTAAATCGATACCTCCTACTCTTATCATTTTGTCATTCATAGCAGATATATCCTATCTGTCCGCCGCGAAATTTATAGCGCCAGTCACCAGCACCAGTGGAAAGTTGGTTTCAAGAAGTGGTGTTGTCAGGTAGGACGGGAACATTATTAGTGTGTGGCAGGAAATGATAACAGCTGATGGGGGGTGTTGGCTTGGTTTGTGCTGGCAGAATTGGTAGTGGCTTGATTTTAATGAAGGTTGTAACCGGTAACATCGATATGATTGCAGGTCAAATATGTGATGAGCGATAAAACAGGGACATTGACGAGGAATGTGATGAAGTTCAAACGAGTTTCTGTTGCTGGGCGAGTCTATGGTGACAACGAAACTGACGAATTTCATGACGAAGGCCTCATCGAAGAATACCGATATGCACCCGTGAGTTGTAGCAACAAATGATTTCTCTTCCGTTCATTCTATCCCCGTTGTTTAGTCCACAAAGACCGGTGTTCAAATAAAAGAACTGCTCACTATGATGGCCGTATGCCATACGGTCGTGCCCGAGGACAAAGATGGAAAGGTAAGTTGGTTTATCTCTTGGTGCTGACGAGTCTACATTGTTCAGTTCTATTTTAGTTGTCGTATCAATGTTCTTCACCAGACGAGGGCGCCTTGGTTCGAGGAGCGGCTAGTCAAGGTTTTATTTTCCATACAAGAAAACCGAATGAAGTGACACTCTCAGTGGTACGTCCTCAACTGGTTCTGGTTCTGATAAACAGTAGCTATTGGATGCACTTCCGTTGGTCAGCTGAATTGAATCTGAGCTAAACGTTTTGTTTTAGTATGGGAATGGAGGCAAACCAAGTTCTGGCAGTCAGATCTTCTAGTGTGTACATTCCCTGGAGGGAGATGGGGAGGAGGAGAGCTTCTTGCAAATTGCATACCTTTGCCTCATTTGAAACGTTCTTGTGGAGATGGGCTGGAATTGGGCATGATTTCCCCACATTTTCTCCATCTTCAATGGGCAGCGCTTGTATCGATGCCGAGATGCCGCAGCGAAACGCGCACTCACCAGGGAAGTCCGCCAACTTACCATGGAACTTTGAATGGAGACCTGGGTAGATCGATAGAGTCTATAAGGTTATTTACAAATATAGAAAAAACTGCTGAATCTGCATTTCGGCCAAGTAACTTCAATGAGCAGGTAAAGTTTGTAATGGCAGTAGGGTGGAGGCTTGTTGGTGAGATGTGAAGCATAAGCGAGGAATCAAGTGCGTCGAATCAAATCGTCGAACGACGAACCTTACCACTGGACCACCACGACTCGATTCGACGTATGCGATTCCTCGCTTATGCTTAAAAGCTCACCACCCTACTGCACCGTTACAACTTTACCTGCTCAAAGTTGCTTGTGAAATGCAGGTTGCAGTTTTGCTATATTAGTTTGTAAATAGCCTTATTAGGACTTATCGATACTACCCAGGTCCATGGTACAGAAGCCCCGATTCCCTGGATCGGGCCAGTATAGAACAACAGGAAGAAATAGGGTCTAGAGAAGCAGTGCGTTAAGCTATGGCTTGCAGTGCGGCAGGCGAATTGTGAAGACAACACCCGGATACCTTTACCATCCAGCCCCGGTGCCGCTTTTGAGCCTAGAGAGCGACACGCTGCTGTAACTGCGAGCCCTTTCTCCCCATAATGTCAGGGACCAGGATCGACTGGTGGTTAGCGTACAGTCTGCTTTTGACTTTCCTCAGTAACCTGTACGGATTGCTGTAAAACACTTTTTTATTTTGCGTTGTTTAGAATGAAAGCATTGCACGTACTATCTAGAAAGTACTTGTGCTTTCTTCACAGGATTTCGAAGATAGTTCCGATGCATTTGGGTATATTGATGATTTTGCAGCTAGGTGAGGACGAAAAGTATGAAGTGCTGGATGTCGTCGAATTCACAAGTGACAGGAAAAGAATGAGTGTTGTCGTACGAGATCCCTCAGGACGCATTAAGCTCTACACCAAAGGAGCAGTAAGATTTTTTTGCTCATTCGTAGTGAGCGTTTCTCGTTGATTTCGTTTGTTCACAGGACACAGTTATCCTCGATCGGCTTGTTGATGGCTCTGAGGCAATTATCGATTCATGTCATGCTCATTTGGAAGATTTTGCTTCTTATGGCTATCGTACCTTGTGCTTCGCCATGCGTGTGCTTGGGGAGGTATGTGCAAGCCATTCGTTTTGCTTCCCGTTCACGAGAAAAAAAATTGCAGCTCTGAAACAAGACTAGTACTTTCTGATGGTAAATTCGAAATACTCTTTGAATTTCTCGAAATTGTGTTTTTAGGAGGAGTATAAAGCATGGTCGAAAGAATACCGTGCCGCTGGAATTCTTATTGAAGGTCGCCAGAAAGCTTTGGCGGAAGAAGCTGAGAAAATCGAAGTCCAACTGGAATTAGTTGGCGCGACTGCAATTGAGGACAAGCTGCAGGAGGTTGATTGGTTTTCAGAGTTTCAATCTGGTGACCCGATGACGCTAACGTTTTTAGTTCGTTCCGGAGACTGTACAAGCACTGATGGCTGCCGATATGCGTGTGTGGATGTTAACTGGGGACAAAAGGGAAACAGCTATCAATATTGGTATGCTAAAATACTGTTTGATGCAGTCGATATATTACTTAGCTCCACTTGCTTTGGAATCTAGAAGAAGGGGTTCATTTTCGCGTTAGAGTACATACGGTCCTACTTTAGGTCCTGTCAGTTCTAGCGGGGGTGGACTATACCGAAAAGGTTCCTCCAAGCCCTGCAAATGGAATGGGCGCAGCTGTGTACTCAATCTTGAACATGGCGTAGGATGCATTTTCCCACGGCATGTTCAAGTTGAGTGGGATGTCTTGTTTTCCTGTGGACTGTTCCATTTGGGGCAACTCCCATCCTGTCCTGTGTTGGACAATGCCATGATTCAAACTGCGTTGAAATGATTTCGCCAAAAGCGTCGTCGCTGTTACGTACATATGAACCATGCGATGCGGCCACGCCCTCTTCATCTACAGGATATTGAGTGTAAGTGCAGAGCTGTATTCCGAGGGCTGCAATGGTTGTGAACATACCGAGCACATTGGAAGCAGTGCAAGATCAGCATTTTAGTAAAATATGTATAGTTCCTTCGGATACCTTTGTCGGGTTTTTAGCTCCAGAGAACGGTGGGTTAGGACTTACGACACCAAAGCCAAGCAGTATGCCGGTTAGCTGCTGTATTCTTATACAGTATACTTTTCAGCCCATGGCGCGTGCGCCTTGTGCCACCAAAAATACGGAGCTGTTAATAGTGGATCAAGGATACGTATATGAGGACACATACACCAAAGCTGCGCTACAGTTCGGGCTAGACGCGCAGAACAACTGAGGAGGAGGCGAAAAGTAAGCTACTGCTCCATGCTGTTCCGAGTTCTTTCTAACTTATGAGAATATTTCAAGAGAATTTGCTATGATCATCGACGGAAAATCGCTTGTTCATGCATTGGTTGGGGACTGTCGAAAGCATTTCGGCGAACTGGCACTCAGATGTCATGCGGTTGTGTGTTGTCGAATGAGCCCCATGCAGAAGGCTGAGGTATGTTAAAGTTCTTACTCTACTGCGTGTTACCTTAGTTAGAATTTGCGCAGGCCAGGAGCAGGAGTCGTAAAGTCATGCGTTCATTGCAATCACAAAGCTATCCTGCAATGGCGAGAGGCGACGTGGGGCTGCAGCCGCAGCTAGCAAGACATTTTTCCTGCGCTCAAAAGTGCACGGGAAGAGGGCTGTAGAATAGTGATACCCCGGCGACGTCTTCACACTCCGCACTTACCCTCAATCTGCAGTACTTGGGTCGATGCCAAGATTCCGCTACGAAACGCGTGCTCAGCGGGTGAGATGAGGCAGGCGGAGTGGCGACGGCGACAGAGGTGGCGCCATTTGCAATGATAGGCGCGTTGCGCCGATAGGGACACGCGGCAGCCCGAAACCGCCCACCAAGGCTGCCACTACCCTTTCCACTCCCACTTCCGCGCACTTTTTCGTTGAGAAAGAGCATTCCTACAGCTGCGGCTTTATGACATGATCATTATCCACCAGCGAGTGGCCTACAATGGATTTTCAAATGCATTCAAATACAGCTGGCGAATGTCGAAGAAGCCCTCTATGATGAAACTTGTACCGAAAATCGTGATTTCTAACGCTCTTACATATCTGCTCTCAAAATTTGTCCAGCGTACCGCATCAAAAACTTATAAAGGCTTCCACTGCCTTTTTCGCTGCCTTATCAAGGCCTAGGCTAGTCAGAGGCTGTCGCGCTCGCCGCAAGCGTTCGCAATGGATGTCACGCTCGCGTTAATGGTAGGGTAGCCCAATGAACATAAATTTTTTAGCCAAATTTAATAATTTTTACCTCGATTTGAAGCATAGCTCGAGTAGTTGAGTAGTCACGGAACTCATTCCGCTCATCTTTAAGGTTGTGGAGATGGTACGCGGCCTTGGAAATCATGTTGTAATGGCTGTTGGTGATGGTGCCAACGACGTTGCAATGATTCAGGTAAACCAGTGGCCCATAACCACCCAGAATATTTTCTTTATCTACTGTATTCAGGCTGCCAACGTTGGTATTGGAATATCTGGAGAAGAGGGATTGCAAGCCGCATCAGCTTCTGATTATGCTATTCCAAGGTTCCACTTCCTGAGGCGATTACTCCTAGTGAGTGACTTTTACTTTTATACAACAATCTTTTTTTTCTCATTTTCATCTCTGGCTATTAAGGTCCATGGCGCTTGGAATCACGATCGATCCGTTAAAGTTATACTCTACAGTTTTTACAAGAACATTTGCCTCTACATTATTGAGCTGTGGTGAGTTTCAACAAGCTTGCAACTGCGTTGGCCTCCGTGTAATTTTCTTCCTGACATTGGGTGATATCCATGGGTTCATGGCTGGCAAATCTGAGGAATATTGAGTTTAAGCTGTAGATCAGTCTACTGAGATGTAGCTTCTCAGTTTCTACCAGCAGTCAGAGAGCTTTATGGGCAGATTTCAGTTCTCTATTCTTCTGATCATTAGGGTGTCTACAAAACGTACTCCATAGTCACTTTTGTTGCAACAGGGTAAATATGGACCTATACATAACTACCCATTCAAAATTCAGGTTCGCGATTTTCTCTGCCTGGTCCGGTCAGACGATATTTGAGCGATGGACGATCGGACTGTTCAACGTTGTCTTCACCGCGTGGCCTCCAGTTGCTCTGGGTTTGTTTGACCGCCCTGTTGAAGCTAACATAATGATGCAACATCCTGCGCTCTACCACAGTTTTCAAAAACGGTCCTTTTCCTTAGGGGTAAGTCTCCACCAGATTTTTATCCATTGTTTCTGTGGGGAGCATCCAAACTGATCTGTAATGACGCACTTTTTAGCAATTTTTCCTATGGATTGGCATGGCGCTTGTTCATTCGCTCTCGTTATTCTTCCTCTCTTACGGATTCTTGGATACAATCGTTTGGAGCAGTGGTAGAGATGGTGGATGGCTAATGCTCGGCAACAGCGCCTATACGGTATGTCTGAGTCTGGCCATCTGTCTTCGGTAGCTAATTAACATTTATTTTCCAGTTTGTGGTCGTAACGGTGTATTTGAAAGCACTACTGGAGTGTGACTCGTGGACATGGCCAGTCGTCGTTTCCTGTGTCGGCTCTATCGTTCTTTGGTTACTCTTCTTACCAATATATGCTGCGGTATGTATTTCTGGGGTATATATATTTGTGTGTATGGTGCATATAGTTTGATTTGTTGTTGTACAGGTGTTTCCCACGATATCTACGCGAATTGGTGCTGACATGGCTGGTATGGCGTGGATTATGATGTCATCTTCGATGTTCTGGTGTGCTTTGTTATTCGTTCCATGTGCCACTTTGATTTGGGATCTCGTCATCAAGAGGTGAGTTATTGGCCTGAATACGCATGCATTTCATATCATTCGGTGATTAGCTCGCATTCATGTGGATTTGGATTGTCTCCTGAGTTTGGCGGAGGGAAGGGGCGAGGTGGCTACGAAATGGAAAAGTTTTTACGTTCCTGAAGGTTGCTAGTCTTCAATGAGGGCAAAGCCTGTATGAGATACAAGGGAAGGATAGTGGATCGATGTGGCTATTTGATGTGTCGTTGACGATATGACGAATCTGTCTTCCACATTCGCAGCGGATTTCTGAGAGAAGTTACAGTCGTCATCCGGGCACTTGATTAGGCGGCAAGGGTCGCGACGCGGCTGCGGCGTGTCACGAGCGCGGCGATCAGCTGTTTCCAGCCTATTTTAGCCATTTTCTCCCTAATTTACTGTTTTGGCTGCTTTTCTCACGATCTGCAACCGCCGGCGCCGCGACCTCTTGCCGGATAATCGCTTGACTAGCGATTACAGAGCAAGACATTTACTCGACTTTGGGAGATCGGAAATCGCTCTGGGCTGCGGCGCGAGTAAGCCCGAAAGAACAGGAAAAAACGAGAATGTATACGCAGTCCATCGTTTATTCCAATTACAGCATCTTCACGATAGCCGTACCAACACCGCGAGAAATGGCAGTGATGGAATTTGAAAGGTACGACGTCGTCTCCAGGATTCGAACGGTTAGCAAGGTTTGTTACTGGTACAGCTTACATATGCTGCTCACGTCTCCTCATAATCTTGGTGTGTTCTGGTTCACGTTTCCGGCAATGCACCTAATACCCTTCAAACAAGTCTTGAGCGAGTAACTTTTTTTGTGTTAATGTGCACTTGAGACTTAACAGGCCTCATTTTCTGGTGATTTTTTCATGAATCTTTTTGGCTTTCTTAATATAGCTAACCATGATAAGGATGTTGAGGTTTACAAAAATGTGCATAAGTAATTTTTTTAGTGGACTCGCTTTTGTAGACAGTGCACCGTCCGTGACCGTCTACTCTGAGCGATTTAATCACGGTGACTTAAATAGTGTACCAGTGGGGCGATTGGTGTTGTTAGTATGCAATGTGAATGTGTTCTTTTCTTTTCCTCTGTTGCTTTTCTTTCCCAGTTTTATTTTTTTTTATATTTCGCATGATTCACTGCTGTGTCAACTGAGAGTGGTTAGCGTCCGCGTGATTTGGTGTTCGTCTTTAGCAAGTCGTCACGAGTTGCCGCAGCCAAGTCATCACGGAAAGAGAACGGCTTTGGTTCTCAATCGGAGCCATTACGTGAGACGTCACGTCTTCATGGCCACGACAATCCTGCTTTGGAGTACGGTAGCACGGAAATGGTAATGTTTGGTCTAGCGAACGGCGGCGACTCGTCCAATATTACTCGTATCTCCATCACGCCAGAACGATTCTAGCCGACCGCAGCATTCGGTTCCGATCTCCACATCTTCAGAGTCGGGTTCGTCTATTAACAATCTAATCACTAAAATTTCTGTTTGTTGATCATCCCAGTTTTTTGATGGCTTTTCCTATCCTGTTGTGATGTGTGAGACTTTTCTGTCCCATAACCTAATACCTTAAAAGGAGTGGAAGTGCGAAAATCTCTTTCTGGTTGGGACGTTCTTGCTGCTGGTGCACGAAAGAAAATGACGAGCATTTCTTGCCCAGTTGAAAACTACCGCTTTACTTATAGCAATCCAAAAGCAAATGGCTTTCGCGAACAATAATTGCCTGAGCACTCCTCTGCCACACTGACTTTCCTTGCCGATAGGCTCACTATTGATTTCTTGATGGCATACTGCATGTTTGAAAGCATGATTACTCGTTGTTGTTGTTCAAGTGGAAGTAAGAATTTATCGCTTTTGCGACTCTCCCAAGGAATTGTGGAACATTATCAAGGTGGCTTAACCAGAAACGGGGAAGCTGTATCGAGCTATGGAGTGAACTGAGGCGACCGCGCTTGGCTTCTGCAAAAGTCTCAAAGCTGATTCAAACTGTTTTTTGAGTTATAAGCGCATTGCAGATAGGAGTGGTCAATTCCAAGATGTAGTAATTAAGTGGGGTAATACAGTATGACGTGTGCCAGTGTTCATTCAAAATGTCATAGTTGCGAAGAAAGGATCCCTAATACAAGCAATTTGCTAAATCTGTTAAGTTTTCTGTTCGACCGAACGGGAAATCGCTTCTTACTGAAGAGCAAATTAGAGGGGTCGGATCAAGGTTCGGACCAATAGGGCATGTGACAAGATGTGCAAAGCACATATGACCTAAGTTAGGCTCCGTCAACAGGGAGCGAGGCACACGCCGAAAGTGAGCACTTTCGCAGAAAAAAATTTACGAGTCGGTTGTAGAGCAACACAGATAGGGAGAAAAGTAGACTTATGTCGGCTAGGGGTAGGAGAGACATATCCAGATGGATGGTCCGCCCACAGTGGGCGGAGCGTGCTCCCAAACTTGACATTCGAAACATCTCGTAGTTCCGTTCCAGAGCACTCTGAAGACCGAAAAATAGTAGATTCGGGCAAGCATGGGGTCAGTGGGCGAGAGATGGGATGCACACAGTTCGACTAATGCTAAAGTGTGATTGTCTAGCCAATATCGCCACTGGACCAAAAGAGGACAAAATGACTAAGTCTACTGAGGCGTATGCAAAAAAAGGTACAGAAAAGGGATAAGCGGTTACAAATGAATTGTACATTGTTGATTATTCTCAATGCACCAGCTGTTTACCATCAACTTCGGAACTGTAAAATTCACTTGGGTACTAATCTGGCCAGTGCACTGACCTCTGTAGGCATACATAAGTTCTATGTCGGTCTGTGGATTGCTTAGCTCAGTTGAACGACTATGGAAGAATCCAAGTCTGCAACTGATGTGATCTATGTGGCTTACCATTCACATCCAGAAGTGGTCCTGCGGCGACTAATCGTCTAGGTTGAGCAATGCTTTAAAATGGTCATCTGTTCGACTACTCAATTAGTAGACGGAAATCGGTCGGCATTGCAAGGTATAGACAGCCTCAGAGAATTTGAGACGGCTGGCGTCAGATCCGAATGAAGTCTGATATCATTCAGAGCTGCAACTCGTTACCGTTATAAACTTTCGTGCCAAAAAGTAAACTGGCTGTATTTTCTGTTAATAGTCTGATGTCAAACCATTCTTCTGTTATAGTTCGTGAACATTGTGGGAAGGCCTTAGTTTTTCTAGTTTTTCCTTGGTTTCCTGGATCGTGGCAAAATCTGTTCTATTTTAACGCTTTCTATCTAATCTGGGAGCTGAACTCTAGTGCTACCCCCTTCAAAGTGCATGAATACGCGAGTGAGCTTTGGTCTTTTTGGTGTGAGCTTGCTTAGTGCAGTAAATGTAAATTTTGTGAATGACTCGTTCTTGAGTTTTGCATAAATCAACCAGATTGGCCTACATTGTTGATATTTGATGAAGATGAATCCACTGATTACGGTGTGATTTCCTCTTCCGATTATGGAACTTTGAGCAATTCGCAATTGGAAAGTAAGCGTTGTGACAGATCATTTATCCTAATTTCCAAAAATAAGGAAAGCATTGGTTCAGAATGCCTTTACAGTCTTGGTTGCTGTGGATGGTAGGGCGTGGCCGGCGGGATGGGTTTGGCGCGGGGCCAGACCTGTTTTCCACTAGTTGTTGAAGCGGGTAAGAGACAAGGCTGTATCATCTCCTTTGTATCAGCCGTTCTCCACCGAACTTACCCACTTCAGCATCTGATGAAAACGGGTTTGGCTCCGCGCCAAACTTATCCTGCCGACCAGACCGTGCTCCATCATTTGCAGCGAGCAAGGCTGTACCTTCATAGAATGAGAGGGAATTCGTAGCCCTAAGAACTCCAGGTGCTACTTTTTCCTCAGGGAAGGCCATAGGACTTGGAAAAATTGGGCGTTCACCGCTGAGAAAGAAAACCTCAGTGAGCGTAGTCTCTCAGGGCAAAGGCTCATTATCGTCAAAAAATCGCCATCGAAAAGAGGAGCCGATGTGACCGCTGAGCTTTTAGTTCAGGACATCTGAGGCGGGCATTGCACGCGAACTGCCAGAGCATTTCTTACCCGATGACTTAACACACCAAAGCGTTGTCACGTTGAATCAGTTTGATTTCGCTGCATAAGCCATTCCTGGGATCTACAGAACAAGCCCAAGGGGGTCGAAAGGCAGACAGTTATCGCCAAAGAGCGAGCATGATGGGCCCGCTCGGGAAAATTGTATGAGCTTATGCTTCCAGTTGGCGCTCCTTTCTGTAGATTAGCTGTGACACAAGCGTCAAAGCAGGCCCCGAGTTCAAAAAGGTGAATATGTGGCTCAGTCGCCAATGGCTAGGTGGCATGTGTTTCAGAAGTGAAAGGAAAAACAAATCAAAGAGCGAAAAAAATTCGCTGAAGCCTTAAATGAAATTTCATGCTGGATCATTTCTCTATTTGCATAGGGTGAGGAGATGGCGTGGTCGGACGAGTTCTGACTTGTTGGTATGAACTCTTTCCCCGGTTGAGGAACAACCACATCAGCAGTTAAAAATGAATGTCGGGCGTCTTTGTGGTCAGTGGGCGGAGCAGCGGTTAAGGCGAGCGGATCGCCTTTACCTCATGTATTTTTGAGCTGCGAAAATCATACATTTTCCATGTTTGTGAGCAGGGTCACCTTGTCCAAAAAGGCGCCTGCGAACCATGAATGGGGGCGCGACTTAACTGGAACATACCATGATATTTCCTTTTGCAGTCACGGGCTCGGTCACGTTCAGATTTTTGCAGTGGTAAAATTTGAGGGGATCGCGCCTAATCCTTTATATCTTTCTCCAGCTTAAAATTAGTCGTAGGATTGGTAAGATCAGTCTTTCCAAGGTCCTTTTGTATCCCTAGCCTTTGTCCTATTAAGAAATTTTTTGTCAGTAATGATGAAGGAAAGGGTCTCAGTTTAATTATGAAAGCAGCTTCTAAGAGGGTTTTGCGCTGCTAGTCAGTGGATTTATCAGCAGTAACCTATATGATGTTCTTGAACAGTTTATTTGCAGTTATTCTTCAACTGTAATGGAGGGTGTTCGCCTTCTTCGTGATTCTATACGTTCTGAGCGGCGACTCAGTGACTCATCTTTGTCACTTGCGGAACAGGCTAGATGTGAGTGAACAACTGTTCATAATTGTTTTAGAATATTTGGAACAATTTCAGTGAAGTCGATTAGTTTATGTTCTTTCACCAAGGGATCTCAATTTTCCACAAGAAATAATTGTGAAAGGGAGAGGGGCAGAAAACGTTCCAGCAGCGGCGACATTTCTCTTCAGAGTAGAACTTGTTCTATCCTTCCTCTAATCTCCCATGGGATTGACTGCACTCGGCGCATTGATGATTTCTGTTTACGTAAAGTCGGCATTTATGAAATTGGAAGTGGGAGGGTAGGGGGATTGAACAGCAAAAACATGAGCGCTTTGTTGGGCATCCTTCGCTACATAGGGTACGGCAGCGTGATGTGTGCCCTTCCCCAACACCTACCTAACCAATTTCCCCACATTTTCCAATTTTCCCTTAAAGTTCTGTTATCAAGTGGGCAGAGCGGGGAGGGGAGGGGTTGGGAGGGATATAGTACAAACAGGAAAAATCACGAAAAGTCAGCAGCCGGGAAAAATTTCTTTCCTCCCGATGCGGCAAATTTCTCTCAAAGCCACATACGACCCTCTTCCTTTCTCGAGGGGAGATACGTTTGGCTCGAAACCGTTTATTCATTATTCTAGGCTGCTTATATAGCATATATTTTAATATAGAAATCTCATTAAGAGGCTTCATGGCAAAACATATGTGAAAGGCAAAACATAAGTGAAAGGTGATTCAGTCAGTGGATAGCTAAAGGTTATATATTAAAAGGTGATTCAACCAAGAAGAATTCCGAGCATATGATAATTCTTCAGCAGAAATTCTGTAGGATTACAGAAACCTCTCCCAAAAACGACTAAATGCGCCCCCCTCCCCTCCCTCCCCAGCGAAAAATACGACCCGCCCATGTGTTCCAACAACGATGCTGTACCCTGAAACTACATGGTGTTCATTCATATCGTCGGCAAGGCAGCGTTCATATGTGGGAATTCATAGTTTCGGAGAAGCGGCCTTGGAAAGAAGATGCCAGAAGGAAAGTTGGTGTACGTATTGGTTTGAAGAATTCTTCAGGGG